TCAGTCTGGGGTGGGTTGGGCCAGGCAAGGTGAAGGCCACCATCTCCTCTACACCTCCATAGAGAATCTTTAATTCCCCACACTGTTCCTTTCGCTCTCCTTACCTGATTACGAACTTGAGCCTTCAAATGAGCTTAGGCCTTCACTTGATTTAGGGTCCGTGCCTTTATGGCTTTTAGGTCTTGAGAAGGAATGATTATCTCTGAACATCTTCTTCCAAGGCCATTATCTGTATGATTGAAGTGTTTTTCTGCTCATAATATGAATGAGATGATTCCCCCAAATAGCTTTTTTGTGGCTTTAGGAGAACAATACAGAGCATGGGATGCGTCTAAGACTAGTGGAAGACCAACAAACAGATTCCTAATATTATGGTGTGTGGTGTTTTACCTTAACCACTCATTCATTACCTTCCATTGTAGTGCCTCCTAAGTCTTGGCCAGGAAGCAAGGATGGCACCTATTCTTACCTGGTTCATCAAAATATATCCATTCTCTGTACCATCTACCTGTTGCATGGTAGAATATATTGGATACTAACTTAGGCAGATAGATACAGCTCAACTCCATACCAGCTAACTGTAATGTACTTTGTCCAGGTCACATAAGGTGTTAACTGATTGCAATGCATATGTCTTAAAGAAGGACCTTAAGAAATTAGTCCTTTAAGCAAATAATTTTTACAGTTTTGTGGGATTTTATTTAATTATAAAATCTACCTGGGCATCATATTCCCAAAAAATTTTGGAAAATACAGAAAAGCATAAGGAAGTAATTAAAATCATTTATAATTCCACAATTCAAAGAAACCAACTATTAACATTTTGATGCATATTGTTCAAGTCTTGTTGCAGGATGTATGTGTGGTAGTGCTACACATCCTCTTTACCTAGTTTTTCTACCTAAGATGGTTTTTTATACTTTACTACCATTAGATAGCCTTCTAAACTGCAATGATTTAGCAGCCAATACCTCGTTTTTGCACATTTAAAGTATTTCTGAATTTCTGTAAAAACAGCATGATGATAGAAATATTTACAGCAATGGGCTTCACACACCGTTGCATAAATTTTTAGAATAAATGTACATGGGGCAAAACAAATACACATTTTAAAAGCTTTTGATACATATTGCTAACCTCCCCCCGCAAAGATTCTATCAATTTGCTCTCCTACCAGCATTTTTTCAGAGTTCCCAGAATCCTCACCAATTTTTAAACATTATTATTATTATTATTTTAAATCCTGGCAACTTGGTGGGGGAAGAAAATCGCAGTGCTTAAACTTGCATTTCCTTGTTTAATAGTGAAGTCCTTCATGACTCACTTCTATATATTTACTGAAGAAGTTAATGTAGTGGTTAAGTAGGGCTGCTCTAGGGCCCAAGTGTTCACTTCCTGGCAACCGTGGGTAAGTTCCTTAATCTCCCTATGCTCGGGTACCAGCTCTGATAATGACAATACTTACTTCATGGAATCTGTGTGAAGATTAAAGAGGGTATCACATGACAAGTGCCTAGAAAGCACTTGGTATTACAGTAAGCACCTGATACATATCAGCTACTCCTATGTTCTCTAGCATTTAGATTTCTTTATATATGAGTTGCCTTTTCATTGTCTTTGTGCAAGTGGTTTTGTTTATTTTTGTTTTGGCAGGAGGTTTTAGTATATTAAGTATGTTAATCCATTACATGCATATATTGCAATTTCCCCCAATTTGTGGTTTGCCTTTAAGTTTTGTTCAAAGTGAGGAAATTTGGGGGTATCAGGAGACTCAGGCTAGGGGATGGCATAGTTTTGGTTCAGCCTGGGTCTTTTTTCTGCCTCTCAGTCCTGCCTCTAGAAGAGTTACTTCCTTATCATTGGGAAGGTCTGGTATTGATTCTTGTCACCAAATAGCAAAAATGGCATTTTAAGCAGGGTATTAAAAATCATCACCTTGGAATAAAACTTCTGCTTAATTTATGTAAATAATGATCATAGCCGATGAGAGGCCATGGTTAATATTTCACCATTTCCCATTTATCACTAAATCCAACTTGTCAGCATTCTTTGGTGAAATAAAATTAATTACTTCAACTTGAGAGAAGCTTTTAATTTGAGATCAAGATCCCTCATAGATTGAGTGTCCATTAAGTGCTACTACATTTTCCTTCTTTGCTGCAAATTATACAGTAGGAAGAGAATCTTTGTAGCCACAAAATCTTGTGCACAAGGGAACATGTTCATTATTTTGACATTTATACATGCTACTAAAAATGAACGTTTTTCACTTCCTTGGAAAAAATGTGGACACAGAGAACATTATTTTACCTTGCTATGTAGCAACGAATTAGAACCACCCTTATGAAAACATGGAAATTCTGCTTGAGCTGCCAACTTGTTTCAAAAAGTCATGAGATTGCAGATCTCATGCAGATATTGCATATATTGCAGATAACACTTGGAGGTGTACATAGATGCACAATGCCAATATAAAAGTAGCATCCATGTTCATCTGTATGTATGTCTGTTCCAGATCCAGTTTATACTCCTCCCTGATTTGCTCAGTCTCAACTACCCTCTAGTTCTTTGCTGTCCGATCAGTGAAGAACCAAGAACCCAGCTGTTTGCTCTGTCACCTCATCCCCTAACACTGCCATCTGTCTCACCCTCCCCCGAGGACCAGACCTTGGCAAGGCCTCTGTAATGTGTGCTGTGATGGTAGCCACATCAGCTCCCATGTGTGGGGGTGACCCGATGCATCCACAGAGGCTTAGGTGCCCTCATGCCTGGTTTCACAGCAGCACCCAGTCATGGGCATAGGACTTGGTTTCCCCAGTGGCTGCCCTGAGGATGTGGATAACACAACCTGGAAGAGTAGAGGAATTTTAATGTCCACTGGCTGAATATTGACCAAGAAGAGACAGGAGACAGGAAGGAACCAATAAATAAATGACTCCCTCTTTCTCCTTTTCATGGACTGTTCCGGGTGCCACGACTCCATGTAGTGTTTCTGGAGACTTCTAGTTGACTAAGCAACTGGCTGTGTTGTTTTGTGAAGCTGTAGCCAGGGTATTTGTCTGGGTGTAAAAAAGCTGGGTATTTGTCTCTGTTCTTTCCCACCTCACTTCCCTTCTCCCCCTCACCCTGGGGGCCCTGGGATTGTATCACGAGCAATATGTTGGCACATAAAATTTGCTTCAGACTGCTTTCTTGGGAACCTGGGGTAAGGCAGCATCTGAGAGCTTTCATATACATTTAAATGAATATTTTATATTTAGGTACTGTGTTTAGCATTCAGATGTGAATAAAATACCAGCATGTGCATAACAACAACAACAACAAAAGTACAAATATTGCTAATATGTGATGGTTAAATGGGGGTAAATGAGAGTGTGCTTTATTACTGCTACTAGGGTTATGTATGGTTGAAATTTTCCACATAAAAAATATTTCAAATAGTTTTGTTAAAGATGCTTACCACTAGGGACCTTGGGAAAAACTGAACATCTTTTGTTTCTGACATTTCATCTGGTTATGCTATGTGATTGCCGCCTAGAAGGGTATCTTCTTTCTGCCCACCTCTCCTACTTATTTTAAAATCACATTAAACACTTTCTTATTTCTTTCACTTTTAATATCTTCCATCAAAATATATTTTCAGATGTCATCCCCCCCAAACAGGCACTCAAACTGAAGTCTGTATCAGTGATAATGAACAGAGGAGCAAGGAAATTTCAATGTCCAAATTATATACTTCCTCATTAGGTTTTTGTCTTTATTTTGTTGTTTTACTTCAAGCATGTTTTACTTTTAAAACATTTTTAAGAGAACACATTTTAAACCATGATTTATATGGTAACTGTTTTGAGAACTGATAGGTTGCTTAGGACCAGGCATGCTCAGCAGTTGCTGAAATAGACAAAAAAACAGCACTTAGAGCTGGCCCTACAGCCCTGGAAGTACATTGATTGTCCTTTTTTAAAAATCTTTATCCTTCCAAATATTTTCTTCTTTTTCCTTTTTCTGTGCCTGTTTTGATTTGCAACTATTGGAAAACATAAAGCAAGAAAAAGTGATTGGTTCCTAATGCAATCTGAAATTTTATTTTATTTTTTTAAATTTTATTTTATTATGTTATGTCACCATACATTACATCATTAGTTTTTGATGTAGTGATCCACGATTCATTGTTTTCGTATAACACCCAGTGCTCCATGCAGTACATGCCCTCCTTAATACCCATCACCGGGCTAACCCATCCCCCCATCCCCCTCCCCTCTAAAACCGTTTGTTTCTCAGAGTCTATCATAGTCTCTCATGGTTCATCTCTCCCTCCGATTCCTGCCCCCTTCATTTTTCCCTTCCTTCTCCTAATGTCCTCCATGCTATTCCTTATGTTCCACAAATAAGTGAAACCGTATGATAGTTGACTTTCTCTGCTTGACTTATTTCACTTAGCATAATCTCCTCCAGTCCCATCCATGTCGATGCAAATGGTGGGTATTCATCCTTTCTGATGGCTGAGTAATATTCCATTGTATATATGGGCCACGTCTTCTTTATCCATTCATCTGTTGAAGGGCATCTCGGCTCTTTCCAGAGTTTGGCTATTGTGGACATTGCTGCTATGAACATTGGGGTGCATATGGCCCTTCTTTTCACTACATCTGTGTCTTTGCGGTAAATACCCAGGAGTGCAATTGCTGGGACATAGGGTAGCTCTATTTTTAACTTTTTGAGGCAAACTGAAATTTTAAATTGCTGATTGAGTTCCGAGCTGCAGAGGCCTTATGGGCTATGAAGTAGGGCTGTGTTCACGCCTCTCGGTCACGTTAGTCCTTTCCTTGTGAGCCAAATGTCCTAGAATATTTGGCTCCTTTAGTGTATTTGTTGCCTACACCCAGGAATAAAGAATTGGGAGCGCTGTGCAGAAGTTTCTTGATTTTGGGGCATGAGTGTTCTCAATGCAAGTATTTGACTCGCTGCAGGAGTTTAACCCCAGTCTGTACTTGCAGGCAAGATGAAGGACCGGCTAGCCGAACTTGTGGAGTTAACCAAGAACTATGACCAGCAGTTCCCAGACGGGGACGATGACTTGGACTCGCCCCACGAGGACATAGTGTTCGAGACGGACCACATCCTGGAGTCCTTGTACCGAGACATCCAGGACCTTCAGAATGAAAACCAGCAGCTGATGACCGACGTGAAGCGGCTGGGAAAGCAGAACGCCCGCTTCCTCACGTCCATGCGGCGCCTCAGCAGCATCAAGCGCGACACCAACTCGATTGCCAAGGACATCAAGGCCCGGGGAGAGAACATCCACCGCAAGCTGCGCGCCATGAAGGCGCTGAGCGAGGAGGCAGAGGCCCTGCACGGCCCCAACTCGGCGGTGGCGCGCATCTGGCAGGCGCAGTACAGCGCGCTCACCTGCACCTTCCAGAGTGCCATGCACCAGTACAACCAGGCCGAGATGAAGCAGCGCCACAACTGCAAGATCCGCATCCAGCGCCAGCTGGAGATCATGGGCAAGGACGTGTCGGGCGAGCAGATCGAGGACATGTTCGAGCAGGGCAAGTGGGACGTGTTCTCTGAGAACTTGCTAGCCGACGTGAAGGGCGCGCGGGCGGCCCTCAACGAGATCGAGAGCCGCCACCGCGAGCTGCTGCGGCTGGAGAGCCGCATCCGCGACGTGCACGAGCTGTTCCTGCAGATGGCGGTGCTGGTGGAGGAGCAGGCAGACCCCCTGAACGTCATCGAGCTCAACGTGGAGAGGACCCTCGACTACACCGGCCAGGCCAAGGCGCAGGTGCGCAAGGCGGTGCAGTACGAGAAGAACCCCTGGCGGACCCTCTGCTGCTGCTGCTGCCCCTGCCTCAACTAGCAGGTCGGCCCCGGCCGCGAAACACCCCGGGGAAGATCTGGGGGGCCGCGGCACAGGGGTGAGTTGCCCCAAGTCCTAGGGGCTTCTTAGAGAAAGAAGAATTTTCAGGCGCGAGAATTCCCACCTCGCTTGTGTTTGGGAAGGGGGGCTTGTGCCAACCCGTGCTTCTCCGGTAAGGACAGATAGGGCGGTTGTGGGAGGGCATTATATGGCACGTGGCACCCTTTCCCTCTTAACCGAAGCCCAACAAAGAACTGACGTTGTAGCTGACTGTGCCGTAAATGTCCAGGGCATGCTTCCTAACGAATCTCTAGGCGGAAGTCGGTTCTGCGCTGGCTGATAGTATGAACTCATTATCAAAACTTAAATTCCTTTACCTTATCCTGAAAGTCCCTTGGTTCTGCTCAATTTCACATGACATGGATCTTGAGAAAAACTGTACATCTTTCATCTCTGAGTCTTCATCTGCCTTATCCTGTGTGATTCCTGCCTAGATGTACACCTTCTTTCTGCCCACTTCCCCTACTTATTAAAATCACGCTTAACACTCATTATTTCCTCATCTCTTTCGCTTTTAGTACCTGCCATCAAAATATCTGTTGGATTTTTTCCAAATATTTTTAAGCACTGAGTTTTGAACACGTACTCAAATTGAAGTATGTTATCAGTCATATTTTATATATTTTTCATAAATAATTTAAAATTTATCTTTTTACTTGGTAATACAAATGCACATAAATACGTAAATATAAAGTACTAATATTAACCAATGACCAATTGGTTTAACTTGACTTTTGTAAATATGGTCTATAAATATCAAGAGCAACACTCTTACTGGTCACTGGTGTTGGTTTGCTTGTTTTGAGTTTATCTCACTCCCATGTCCATAGTCACAATTCTGTTTTGAACCACTCTGTGTTGGTTGTGGTGGTAGAGACAGATGTCAAAGGCGAAAATCCATACAGAACTGGAGATAATAAAATAACATTCTTGGAAATACTACTTTTGTTTTACTGTGGACCATTCTTTTCATGTACTGAAATGGAGTAATTTAAAATAAAATTTAGCTTAATAAACATTACACTATTAATCCCCTTTGTGTATTTTTATCTTGGCCATTTAAATCTTAGTTTGCTTTTTCAATTATTATTCTTAAAAATTCTTCTACTAGCTGCATGAGGCTGCAACATCTGGATGGAACTCTGACTAGGAGGAGAAAAGGTGAAAAAGAATTCCCTTGTGGGTTTCCTGCTTTCTCTCCCGAGTTACTTATAATAGTTTAGCAAATCATGTTTTAGCGATTTGGTTTTGTTTGCAAACTTTGTAATGCCCTCACCCACGTTTACAACTCTTAACTTTTTTTACTCGTTATTACTAAATGAGCAAGTTTACTCAGCAGTCAAAATTCTCAGGTCTTTCAGACAGATTTTAAAAAGGAGTAGAAAGAAGAGCATGTGAACTCTTTGGAACTCACCAACGAACCTCCTTATGCCCATGAAAAAAATCCAGCCCTGTACCTAATTTTAATTTCATGGTTAAATATGAGAATTGTGGAAACCAAGTTCCACTGGGCTCCTCTCAGATTTCTCCCGATTTCTTTCTCAGTTAACCCCACGGATATGTTTCACTTTTAACCAAATTACCTTTCCCTAAAAACAAAACAAAACAAAAACAAACAAAAAATGTCTTCACATAGCTCCATTGCTATGTCTTCCATTGTAGAGAAGTGAAACTGAGTATAGACCACCAGCTAGTTTCCCTGAGAGAGAATGGTTCATGAATTCGACTTCTTTTAAACCCATAAATCATTTTCTTTGCCTAGAACCGGCCATAAAAGTAAATGAGTTTGCAGGCTCTGTGTATTCTTTAATTCCCCACATTTCACATTAGAGAATTAAGTAAAAACTGCTCTTTCATTTACTAAGTGATTAGTGAACTGTTGCCTATGACAAGGTAAGAATTTTTCTTCCTGCTTTTTAGTAACTTTCTGAGTGTTCGCATAGTAGTTAAGAGCACTGATTCATGACCTCACTCTCTCGGTTTAAATCCTAACTCTGCCCCATACTAAACATATGATTTGGGCACATTACCAAAACTGTTTGTGCCTCAGTTTCCTTATCTGTAAAATGGACATAATAAGGCCTACTTCATTGAGCTGTTGTAAGAAGTAAAAGCTATCTATGTTCATTATTGTTATTATATAGCTTTCTGGTAGACCGAGAAAGCTGTTACTAATTTAGTAAATTAATAGTTATTAACTTCCGAGGAAAAAGAAATGTTTTTCTGTTGATAGTCTTTAATAAAACGGAATAAAGAAACCAAGACCTATCTTCTTTGAATATTAGGGCTTTTTTTTTCTACCACACACGCACCAAAAAAACCCATTTTCTCAATGGCATTTCTATTCCTAATTATATCCAAACATGTTCTGGAAGAGTATTAGATTTTCCGCTCAGAATGAACAGTTAAGCAGGAAGCAGGTGTTCTGTTCAATTTGGCAAGTATATTCCCCTGATCTTCCCAAGCTTTGAGTCAGAAAATCCCAGAAAGTGTTCAGTTGTGGAGTCCAGGTCACAACAGACTAAAGAGAACAGTTGGCTTTTCCCACATCCTGCCCTGTTTCCCTGAAGCCCTTCCTGGCTCTGAGCGCTGTGCCAAACAATGTGTGAGATGCGGGCGTTTTCCTCTGGAAAGGCTACTCCGGTGCCCCCAAGAGGTGTGATAGAGGTTGGTTTTACCCAACTCCACGATGCTCTCTTGGCAAACTCTGAAAGTTGACCTTGGGCAAGAAGAGGAAAACTTTGTGGCAAAGCTACTAATTCCATACACTAACATCATTTAATGTACAAAATGAAAGACCCAATCACAAAGAACAATAGATCCTTCAGGGGCAGAAGGTGGAAATCTATTCCTAAAGCTATTTTCATATATGCAGTGACTCCTTCTAACTAGCCAAACGCCAAACCTTACAGTCACAGCCACAGATTATAGGCGGTGACTCCAGAAAGATCAGAAATAAGAGAGATGCTCACCAACAGTGCGTCAGTATCCAGGACAACATGAGTTCAAATTTTTTAAAAGCAGATCAATGATTCAAAAGGGTTTGAACTGTGACATCATGGGAGTGAGTTTATGGCCTTTCAAGATAATGACTTTGAAAGAAAACAGCGTTCTTCTTGTGCTTCCTATTGATTTAAAAATAGTCCCAATGCTTTATAGTTGAATGTCATATGCACGTATTTTTCAGGCTCTACAATGTAAAATTCCTATCTTGACAGGAACCTGCAGAAGATTGTGTACAGCTTAAAAATAATAAAATAGGGTAACTGTCATCTTGGATTTTATGTATAAATCCCACCATTCTATCTTCCATCATCAGACAAATTTCCACTCCTCTCTTCGAAATATGCACGGTATCTCTAATGCAGCATGCAATTCACTCATTTGTAATCTGGACAATAGCTTGAAACATCCATTGCCGTCAAAGTAACAGTTGAGATGACTTGCTTTTGATAGCAAGAATTGAAAATCCTTGCAATTAATAAAATGGGGCTATTACAAACAGAAAATGAATAGGATCTAGAATGCAACCTCACCATCATATAAATATTGGGCATCTTTATTACCATGTGCTATAAAGGAAAGATGAGATGGCCTTATACACTGGAAACTTCTGTTGTGAAGATTATGTATATATTGGTAAGAAAGAAGGCTTTCTGACCTGATGATCTAGGTGAGACTACATAGGATGCTTTTAAACCAGTGATATCCTAAAAACTGAGGAGTGAGAACTCCCCAACGCTATCATTTTCTAATTCTTTTTTTTTTTTTTTAAGTAGGCTCCATGCTGGGTGTGGTTGCAGGGCTTGAACTCGACCATGAGATCGAGACCTGAGCTGAGATCAAAAGTCAGACAGTTAACTGACTGAGCCACCCAGGTGCCCCTCTAATTCTTGATATTTATTTTGAAAGTATTTTTATACCCCTTTTTAATTATAAGCATCTTTAAGCTACTCTTGAACCTCTTCCATTTTTTCCTGATCTGTATCTCTACATTTGCAAGGTATTATAGGCAATTCTTTAGACATATCCTTCTCTCTGTATCCAGGTATCCCATAATATTCTGTAGTGGATACAAATAACAGAGCATGAAAATTATATACATATATATATATCTCCTTATCTCTCTGTTTTCAGGTGGGCCCAGCTATGTGCACGTGCTTAGGTTTGCTATCCCAAACAGAAAAGCCCTCAGAGCCATTTAACAGGAACATACATGTAATGCATGTGTTTCTAAATTTCTGTGTCAGGATCTTTGCACTGCCCCATCAGTGTGCTCTTCAGTTATGTGCCCCCTTTCCCTGATACCTCCTGCAGATCCTGTATTCACACTTGGGGATTGCTCTGAGCCACCATAAATCTATTATGGAACAAGGTAGGGAAAGAAGAAGGAATGAGGAAATACCCACATCTATCAAAACTCACTGGCTGAGGCTGAGTAGTACTTGTTTTCTAAGTGTTCTTGGAGACAGATGGTGCCTCATAGCTGTTCTACACTCATGCCCCCTGTTTCCTTGTTTTGTTTACTGTGGATTTGACACCTTGCCTAACTCTTCTCTATTCACGTATTCCTGATGGTCTAGTTTCTGTTCAACGGCTTGCTCTGACTCTGCAACCTGACTGCTATCCGTCTGCAAGTCTTCCTGGCTGTTTTTTGTCCCCCTGACCTTCCTCTTACGTACACTGCTGGCGCTACCCTGAATCTGACCCCACTTTGCTCAAAAGTCATCCCATCCCACAACAGATAGACGTAATAATACCCATTGGTAGAACACCTTTCAGTTTACAGGGTGCTTTGATCTCAATTTTTTTTTCGTGATAATCCTGTGAAGTAATAGTACCATGTCATTTTTTCAAAGAGGTGGGAACTGAGAATGCAGACCTCTAATACTTGGCAAAATTATGTATTTGTGAGTGTTTATTTCTTACGCTCATATTACTAAGCTGCTCTCTGCATG